TTCCTACTACAAATTATTCACCACACGCAGGTTATAAGAGTTTTAGTTTTAGAAAGAGTTTTCGGCACTTGCAAAACAATTAGGCCATATAAGCGCCAGAGATTAGAGGTGTTACAAAAGTAAAACAAACACAAAAAGGAGGACAGATAAAGACGATAGATGTTTCATAGGAAAGAAGAAAAAAAAACCACACCAGAGTACCCGCCAACCACCCAGAGGCCATAGAGTATGTCTCACGTGACTTTCAGATTTGTCACGTAAGCAGCACATAGATTTTCAAAGCATCGGCCTTAACCATAACGAATTAAAAAGACAGACAGACATTGTTTTGTGTAAATATGTCACTACATGGCAATTTCCAAGACAGGATCTACACGGTTGGGTTTCCCGGCCCTATTGTGTTACTGTTATACCGGCACAACGAGCCGAGCAAGAGCAGCAAAGAAGACATGATGACTCTGGAGAAAAGACAATGAAATAGCCCTACACTAAAGAGGTTGATGTGGCACGCACACGAACGGCATCCCGAAAGTGGCGGAGTAGCAAACCATGTTGCGGGAGGCCAGAGAGGAGCTCACTGACCGCTACAACACGAACAAGCCCTTTGAGAAGATCGCTCCATTTGTCCTTCAAGAAAAAGGTTCCATTGCTCCCTTTTGAGTTTTAGCAAAGAGATGAAGGTAGGGACAAAAAACTGCAGTCTGGTGGGTTTTGGGGAGGTTTTTTTTAGGGGAGTTTTGCTTTTGGGGTTGTTGGGTTTTTTTGTAGCTTTTTTTTTTTTTGGGGGGGGGGGTAACAAGAGGAACAATCATAAAAATAGAGGAATAGTAAAGAAGTAAAACCACCACCTACCACCCATCCCTCGTGCGTCTGTGGACGCGTTCCCCTGCCTACGTGTATCTGTGCGTGAGTGTCTGTGAAGCTAAGGAATTATTGATATAATCAAAGTCATATTGAAATGAGAAATAAAGGGTAAGGGGGGAGGGTAGTTGAGGGGTTAGGGGTGCGTCTTCCCCATGTCTTAATCTTTGGTGACTCGTGTCACGGTTGTCAGTTTCTGTAGTGGTGAAATGGTATAGGTTTAACCTCCATATCAACACAATAGGTCAATTAAGAGACGGGACGTCCGAGTTTAACGTCCATCTTTGAAAGGGCCAAGCCAAATGGGAATTGCGTGTAAAAGTGCCTTTCTCAAGGACACAATGTCGGACCAAGCTGAGGTTCAAACCCCCGAACCCACAATCTCACGACTACGGTCCGTTAGCCTAACCACTAGGTCACCGACGCTATCAAACACTTCCACACATCATCTACGCACACAAAAACCCATACTAAAGAATAACGAAACAGTAGCAGACAAACAACCCACTATCTGGCAGCTCTGGCATTCACAGGAAAAAAAACGACACAAAACAAAAACATCGCGGCACAAAACATGTCTTTGTATCGGGACGTTTCTCCCCTCATTCAGAACGTCCAGACACATAATAACACACGTATATGTATAAAAGATAAGCGCCAGAGCAAAACGCGAACGTGAGGCTTTCACAAGACGCGAGCACTTCACTAGATCTGTTATGTATTCCATGAATAAGGGAACACCCCCCCCC